CAAGCATGCTGAATAAATAAGATGAAGAAGAAATAAATAAATAAGATAAAGAAGAAAGGAAATTGGTTGTTATCTAATCAAATTAAATAGAAGTCATTGATTTCATGTGATGAACCACTAAAGAATAATAAAATCAAAGAGAAATCAAATAGCTTCCTACTTTTTTTTTCTCTACCATATTCCTACACATTTAATATTGTGATATTTATCATATTTAATAAAATTAATAAATTTTTATTACATGTGTCATTATCTAAAAATGATAGGAGAATGAGTAACAAGAATAAGTAGAAAGATATTTAATTTTTGATCGTAGAATATTGTAAATTTGGAGAAATCAAAGTTGATGCGCAAAACAACTTAAATTAGGGATGATGGGTGGGTGAACCACTTTCCGGGGTTTATCAAGAGCTTCAACTTATTGAGAGCTCTTGTCATCCATATAGGGTAGACAATGAAACACCCAATGGATTAAAGTTATGATTGTTTAAAGTTAGCATGGTTAGATTTGTTTTATCCTTGTCCCACTAATCCATGAGACTCTCAAAGTCCTTGATATGCTCTCCATCAACAACGACTTATACCAAAATCAGACACTATTTGACCTCCAATGGCAGCAAGGTTTCATTTCTGGGTACTATTTGGCTTTTTAATTATGCACCATACACAAACATGAGCTAAAAATCGTAATGAGGTCATGGTTTTTAGATCAATTGACTTAACACTTTATACAATATATCCTACCTAACACTTTATTCAATGTCGTTCATCATCAAGATGCTAATGAGCTTTGATACAAACTGACACGGAACGGAAGTAAAGAATAAGAATTGTTCAAGGAAATCCAAAAGGATGAATGTTAACTATTTCCAAGATGATCATTAAATCAACTCTTTAAATATGACTAAGCTAAAGTTAGCAAGCATGCTGAATAAATAAGATGAAGAAGAAATAAATAAATAAGATAAAGAAGAAAGGAAATTGGTTGTTATCTAATCAAATTAAATAGAAGTCATTGATTTCATGTGATGAACCACTAAAGAATAATAAAATCAAAGAGAAATCAAATAGCTTCCTACTTTTTTTTTCTCTACCATATTCCTACACATTTAATATTGTGATATTTATCATATTTAATAAAATTAATAAATTTTTATTACATGTGTCATTATCTAAAAATGATAGGAGAATGAGTAACAAGAATAAGTAGAAAGATATTTAATTTTTGATCGTAGAATATTGTAAATTTGGAGAAATCAAAGTTGATGCGCAAAACAACTTAAATTAGGGATGATGGGTGGGTGAACCACTTTCCGGGGTTTATCAAGAGCTTCAACTTATTGAGAGCTCTTGTCATCCATATAGGGTAGACAATGAAACACCCAATGGATTAAAGTTATGATTGTTTAAAGTTAGCATGGTTAGATTTGTTTTATCCTTGTCCCACTAATCCATGAGACTCTCAAAGTCCTTGATATGCTCTCCATCAACAACGACTTATACCAAAATCAGACACTATTTGACCTCCAATGGCAGCAAGGTTTCATTTCTGGGTACTATTTGGCTTTTTAATTATGCACCATACACAAACATGAGCTAAAAATCGTAATGAGGTCATGGTTTTTAGATCAATTGACTTAACACTTTATACAATATATCCTACCTAACACTTTATTCAATGTCGTTCATCATCAAGATGCTAATGAGCTTTGATACAAACTGACACGGAACGGAAGTAAAGAATAAGAATTGTTCAAGGAAATCCAAAAGGATGAATGTTAACTATTTCCAAGATGATCATTAAATCAACTCTTTAAATATAACTAAGCTAAAGTTAGCAAGCATGCTGAATAAATAAGATGAAGAAGAAATAAATAAATAAGATAAAGAAGAAAGGAAATTGGTTGTTATCTAATCAAATTAAATAGAAGTCATTGATTTCATGTGATGAACCACTAAAGAATAATAAAATCAAAGAGAAATCAAATAGCTTCCTACTTTTTTTTTCTCTACCATATTCCTACACATTTAATATTGTGATATTTATCATATTTAATAAAATTAATAAATTTTTATTACATGTGTCATTATCTAAAAATGATAGGAGAATGAGTAACAAGAATAAGTAGAAAGATATTTAATTTTTGATCGTAGAATATTGTAAATTTGGAGAAATCAAAGTTGATGCGCAAAACAACTTAAATTAGGGATGATGGGTGGGTGAACCACTTTCCGGGGTTTATCAAGAGCTTCAACTTATTGAGAGCTCTTGTCATCCATATAGGGTAGACAATGAAACACCCAATGGATTAAAGTTATGATTGTTTAAAGTTAGCATGGTTAGATTTGTTTTATCCTTGTCCCACTAATCCATGAGACTCTCAAAGTCCTTGATATGCTCTCCATCAACAACGACTTATACCAAAATCAGACACTATTTGACCTCCAATGGCAGCAAGGTTTCATTTCTGGGTACTATTTGGCTTTTTAATTATGCACCATACACAAACATGAGCTAAAAATCGTAATGAGGTCATGGTTTTTAGATCAATTGACTTAACACTTTATACAATATATCCTACCTAACACTTTATTCAATGTCGTTCATCATCAAGATGCTAATGAGCTTTGATACAAACTGACACGGAACGGAAGTAAAGAATAAGAATTGTTCAAGGAAATCCAAAAGGATGAATGTTAACTATTTCCAAGATGATCATTAAATCAACTCTTTAAATATGACTAAGCTAAAGTTAGCAAGCATGCTGAATAAATAAGATGAAGAAGAAATAAATAAATAAGATAAAGAAGAAAGGAAATTGGTTGTTATCTAATCAAATTAAATAGAAGTCATTGATTTCATGTGATGAACCACTAAAGAATAATAAAATCAAAGAGAAATCAAATAGCTTCCTACTTTTTTTTTCTCTACCATATTCCTACACATTTAATATTGTGATATTTATCATATTTAATAAAATTAATAAATTTTTATTACATGTGTCATTATCTAAAAATGATAGGAGAATGAGTAACAAGAATAAGTAGAAAGATATTTAATTTTTGATCGTAGAATATTGTAAATTTGGAGAAATCAAAGTTGATGCGCAAAACAACTTAAATTAGGGATGATGGGTGGGTGAACCACTTTCCGGGGTTTATCAAGAGCTTCAACTTATTGAGAGCTCTTGTCATCCATATAGGGTAGACAATGAAACACCCAATGGATTAAAGTTATGATTGTTTAAAGTTAGCATGGTTAGATTTGTTTTATCCTTGTCCCACTAATCCATGAGACTCTCAAAGTCCTTGATATGCTCTCCATCAACAACGACTTATACCAAAATCAGACACTATTTGACCTCCAATGGCAGCAAGGTTTCATTTCTGGGTACTATTTGGCTTTTTAATTATGCACCATACACAAACATGAGCTAAAAATCGTAATGAGGTCATGGTTTTTAGATCAATTGACTTAACACTTTATACAATATATCCTACCTAACACTTTATTCAATGTCGTTCATCATCAAGATGCTAATGAGCTTTGATACAAACTGACACGGAACGGAAGTAAAGAATAAGAATTGTTCAAGGAAATCCAAAAGGATGAATGTTAACTATTTCCAAGATGATCATTAAATCAACTCTTTAAATATGACTAAGCTAAAGTTAGCAAGCATGCTGAATAAATAAGATGAAGAAGAAATAAATAAATAAGATAAAGAAGAAAGGAAATTGGTTGTTATCTAATCAAATTAAATAGAAGTCATTGATTTCATGTGATGAACCACTAAAGAATAATAAAATCAAAGAGAAATCAAATAGCTTCCTACTTTTTTTTTCTCTACCATATTCCTACACATTTAATATTGTGATATTTATCATATTTAATAAAATTAATAAATTTTTATTACATGTGTCATTATCTAAAAATGATAGGAGAATGAGTAACAAGAATAAGTAGAAAGATATTTAATTTTTGATCGTAGAATATTGTAAATTTGGAGAAATCAAAGTTGATGCGCAAAACAACTTAAATTAGGGATGATGGGTGGGTGAACCACTTTCCGGGGTTTATCAAGAGCTTTAACTTATTGAGAGCTCTTGTCATCCATGTAGGGTAGGCAATGAAACACCCAATGGATTAAAGTTATGATTGTTTAAAGTTAGCATGGTTAGATTTGTTTTATCCTTGTCCCACTAATCCATGAGACTCTCAAAGTCCTTGATATGCTCTCCATCAACAACGACTTATACCAACATCAGACACTATTTAACCTCCAATGACAGCAAGGTTTCATTTCTGGGTACTATTTGTCTTTTTAATTATGCACCATACACAAACATGAGCTAAAAATCGTAATGAGGTCATGGTTTTTAGATCAATTGACTTAACACTTTATACAATATATCCTACCTAATAAATAATTTTTTTTTACCACATATCACTTTCTTATTAACTTGGACACATATCATTTTTAGTATTTTTGAATAAATGTTTTTCCTTTTGTCATTTTGTCAATTTTTTTTTTATCATTTCTTAATTAACACATCATATTTACACCTCAATTAATAATTGCATTAATTGAAAATAATCAATAAATTACAATATTACTACTCATATAGTATTTAATATGTTTCTTTTTAAATTTTAAATTTTAAATCTAAATAATTTTTTGTTAAAACAATTATATTAAAATTTTTATTTTATCCAACTCGTATAATATACAGATCTCACAACTAATATTCTATAAAAATCAATCCCATATCCTGAAAGGGATGCAACATAAAACTGTTGAGTGGTCAGCAGCAAAGTTTACCAAGTATTTTTTAAAATTACTTCTTTTTCTTTAATTTTATATGTGCTTCATTTTTTCATTTATTTACAACTACTACCGACACTTGTAGGTTATAACCATTTCGTTATACCCAAATATATTGTCAGCGATCATCAATTTATTATTTAAACTCACAACATAAAATATATCTCACATTCATGCATCATCAATCAGATATAAATAGCATCAAACTTGCATTCATTTTCCCTTCCTACTTTCATCTTTTCTATTACAGCATCCATTTCTTAAACATATGCATAGAAATTGATATGGGAAATTAAAACAATATAAGCAATTTTGATCCATGCAAGTAAAATAAAGTAAAGTAAACAACATCTCATCTCCACTTGTTAATCTAGTATAATCATCATGTACATATAAGTTGTATATGCTAATCATATCTGCCTACCACCCCTAACACTTTGAGATTTAGTAGAATTCTAAGATTCAAATCATCAAAATATAAATCGTGCTATACTCCTCTGCTAATGGAAGCCTTCTCTTCTAGACCTCAGCAGTGAATCTTCCGCTACAAGTACAAAATTTCTCAAACATTATTAGCTGCCTCAAATAAAATCTTCATTTTCATACACCTACACATCTCTTATTAATACTTTGTATTTATTTGATACTTGTTTTTTTTTTTTAATAATGGTCCTTACCATGACTATCATCATTGTCATCCCGATCTCCAGATTGAGTGGTGAAAAATGGGGTAAGGTAGTTCCTGTCTAACGCACGGAAAGATGCAGCACTGCATCAAACAAATAAATAAATAAACATTAGAAAAAAAAAAAAAAAAAAAAAAGGTGGGGCCCACGACCATTACCTTCTGTGAAATTCTTTAAGTCTCATCTTTAGTCTGTTACCGGATGATGGCTCTCCATCAAATGGAGCCACGTAGCCATTATTAGCTTCAAAGCTCTGGACCAAAATCAAATTATAATCTTATTCTTATTCAATCATCATTATATATTTAATACAGTAGCTAATAGGAAGAAATAAAAGTAGGATGATGATATATATATATATATAGTAAACAAATCAAAAAAAGTATATTGCTACTTCTTGCATTTAACCCTGTTGGTATTTTGGAAGAAAATTTTAAAAAAAAAATGTAAGGAGGTTAAATCTTTTTTGTATAAACTTTGGAGCTCACTTGAATTTTAAAAATTATATACACTCCATGAAAGAAGAATTTATAAAAAGCAATACTCACATCACTCAAGTGGCCATCATGGGTATCTCCTCCTATAACTTGTAAAGCTTCGAGCATAGTACCTGTTGAGCCTCCAATAAGCAACACCTGCATTTTCAATTACAATGTCAGAAGCAATGTTTCTATTAATTTTGTCTGCATAAATAAATGATTATTTAAGATATGGCGAAAGAAAGACTTTCTCTATTAACTTCTTTCTGTATGAATTCAAAAAGAAACCCCAGATTAAGTCCCACCCCATGCATTAAGAGATACTACATAGTAATTAATACTTGAAAAGCAAAGTCAAAAAACAAATGGAAGGGAAAGGTTAAAGATGATTTTACAGTTGAAAGAATGTGAACTGTTATTTGTAGAGCTTATAAACATAAAATATAATAGTAATTTGAAAAAATATAAAGCAATTTTCACAATTATGGGTAGATTTCTTAAAGTCTGATAAGAAAAAAAAAATTGAAAGTACAATGCTTCTCTAATTGAGGATATGTTTCGCAATACAATACCTAAATAAGAAATGAAATGTTGTAATAGGAAGAATTGAAAGTAGAATGTTACAATAAACAAAGAAATAAAAGTGTGCAACTATTTTTTGCATTTATATTTTAATAATATAATATAATATATGAAATTAAAATGAGTTGGGTTGGGTACCGTTAAGACGACTATTGCAGTGGTTGCAGTAAATATGGTCTGACCGTGTCCTTCTGGGAGATCATGAACTGATTGCAAAGCAAGGGCAAAAGCCATTGCCCCTCTAAGTCCTGATTCATCATATTATTATTATATATAAAATAATTCAGTAAAATAAAATCTTATAAAAATTTAGCAACTTTTTCTATGCTTACCACTATACCAAAGTGCTTTCTGGTGTTTTACAGGTATTTGTCGTTGTGCAGGTCGAACCAAATTCAACAAATATGCACAAGTGAACACATTTGCAGCCCTTCACAACATAAAAAACAATTAATTTAGTAACTATTTTATAGCATTGAAACTATTCACATCATAAAGCTAAAGGTGTTTCCAAATTTTAAAAATATATATTTCTGTATTTTGCCCTGGTATCAAAACAGAATACATGGTTTTTTCCATGGTAAAAAAAAAAAAAAAAAAAAGTATAATGGTTTTAATAAATATGGATATTAGCTAACTGGCTAAAACAAAAAATTGGTGAAATACAAGTGTTTAAATCCTTCAGGCATACCTTGCTAAACCGATGAATATCTGGGGCAATCAAGGAGTGAGTTAAGAAAAAAAATACAAAGTGCTGTTAAAATCAATAATACAAAACTTCCTAACTTATAAATTGAAGTCCATCATAAATCAAGTTTTTTTTATGTATTAGTATATTTTTAATATAATAAATTAATGTGATAATATAAAATAATGATGTTAAAGAGATTTTGATCCTAATGACACATTTTGATAAATAACTCAAGGATACAATAGAAAAGAAGATGAATCCCACGTGGGACCAGCTATGCTGTTCCATAGCAATATCAAAACCCATATATATGAATCTGCACAAAAACCAACAAAATAAATAGTTACAAAGAAACTAAATAAATGTTTTAAAATAACACAAATAAAAGTGGCTTCCTTACACAAATGTCTCAGCTAAAGACGATATCAAGTGGAAAAAAGCAGACACAAATCTTTGAGAATTTTCTGACAAGTTTGAGAAGGAATAATGCTTCATAACCTACCCCCATAAACAAAAAAAAAAAAAAGACACCAATATATTCACTAAAAATCCTTAATAATAAAAAAACAGAACAGATATTTGTAGCCAAAACCATATGTATATACTAACCATCCCAGTGAACAGAATTGACACAATACCAGAGAGACCAAGACCTTCTGCTAACATGTACCTAAAATTCATATCATTAAGAGAGTAAAACATTCTGTAAATACAAAATTAGGATTTAGGGTTTAGAGAGCTCACGAGAAGTATGGAAAAAGAACAAACAGACAGCATTCCAAGTTCTGTAGGCTGAAAATCATGAATTATATGTTCCAAAGTCAGTATGAGTGTAAAAGATGATACAGTTTTTTTAGATTGAGTTTATATAAGATAAGAAGCCAACTTACTTATCAATGTCCAAACCTGCATACTTGAATAGGTTTCCTGCAGTTAAGGTTTATAACAAACAAGAAAATTTTCTACCTAATATTTACAACAATAATCACTATTAAAGGATATCAAAGCAGATGTGAACCCAACACCAACACCTGTCACACAAGAATAAAATAATCTGAGTAACTCAAAGAATCAAAAGCAATACTGAAAAATAATACACAATGATAGATATATATTATATATTATATATTATATGTGGATGTTTCTTTTGGACTTAATGCGGAAATAACGACTTAAAGGTCAATAGCATATGTAATAAATTCAAATTTATTTGCAGCAAAAAAAAAAAAAAAAAGCATAAGCCGACATCAAAACTGACCTGCTGACATGGAACCAACAAAAGTCTCAAGAAACCTCACAACTATCAAAAAGAAATTTTGCTCAGATGAATTACTCCTCACCAATGACATTGTCCTAAAAAAAATGAATTCTATCAGTTTTTGTAATATGTATTCAAGTTTTCTTATTGCATAATATAAATGTGTCTCAGTGTATATTGAGATTTGAGGCTGCTTAAGGGGACAAACAGGACTGATTGATGTCCACCCATTTAAGTGGAACAAGGGAAGACATGGATCTCTCATATGTGCAAAAGACATAAATGCCCTTTTCATCTTCATCATTGAAAAAAGCCCTAGAAGTATATCCTGTCCTGTGTATCAAATATTGTCAGAAAGTAGAACTGGAGTAATGCAAACCTGTATAGGGAAATTGCCATCTTTGAAGTTGAGCAAAATATAAAAGAACATAGACCAAAGAAAAGAAAATGATATAAGTATTAATATCTACAAATAATATGGGAATGGGATAATTAAAATCAAGATAAAACTTACCGCATCATTTAAAACCGATTCACCAAAAACCAATGCATAAAGATTCATGTCTGAGCCAAGCTCCTACAGTTTTCATATGAACATAAATTCACAAAGATATAAGAATGTGGATACAAAAAGGAATTTTTGGTCTTTCTTACCAAAAGCAGATCAATAATCAATACTGATAAACAACTAGAAAATTAATGAAAAAAGGAATTCACTCTACACCAAATTCAACCTGAAAAATGGAGAGAACAGTGACAGGATCTGTTGCTGAAATAAGAGCACCAAACATCAGACATTCAACCAATGGAAGTCTGTACATGAGATACATTACACCACCAAGGTACCTGTAACATCAAACATGAAAGCAGTCTGAATTTATTGAGGCAATTAACATAAGTTTATGTTCATCAACATTATTTTACTGATAAAAAGGAATACTCACACCAAAAGACCTGTAACAATTGAAGCAATAAAAGTTCCCAATATTGCAAATGTCACAATGGCTCCAAAGTTTGAAAAGAATGGTTTCTGAAAAAACGCCAACAGTTAATATATATGTAATAACAGAATGTGGGGATTAGATAACATTCATTATAACTTACAGGTGCCAAACTGAATCCTGATTGGGTACACATGAATGGTCAAGGAAATAACTAGACAACCTCTTTTGATTAATAAAACAGATGATAAAGAATAATAAATCATTAAGGAGATTGACGAAGGATATAATATGATGGGGGGCAACAAAAAGAGGAAGAAGAACTCCTCATGGAAATTAAACCAGGCCCTGCAGTAGAAAGGGAAGAAGGTAAATCGAACTGCAATAGTTAGTTGTACTATGTTCAACAAACTAAGAGAGGTACCATGAAGCTAAAAAGCATTCAAGAACCTGATACTAGTTTCGGTATTCGAGATATTCGCAAGTCCACCAACGATTAACCCTGTCAAAACCAACGTGAAATCATGATCATCATCGCGTAGATGACTCTGGAACTAAGAAGAAACTCAAGTTTGTACGAAATCACAGGGAAATTGTTGAGGATACAAGAAAGGCAATAAAATCGAAGAAATTGAACTCAAGCAGGATGAGTATAAAAGGAATACGGGATTATATGATCATGGTTTACCGATCAAAAGGGAGGCGCTTGCTTCAGGAAGATAATAGAATCTATGACGCCGCAAGACATGTCCAAGAATGAATGAAAGGACGAGCATCATTATCTGAAGAAGAATGCCTACCCCTGCCGCCTGTTGATCCTTACCTGGATTTCCGCCATGCGGACCAGCAGGAGATATTTGCAAGTCAGGCATGGTGGTGGGATTATTCCAGTTCCCTTCCTGCATGATACTTGATCGCAATTTCAATCTCAATCTCAATCTCAATTTCAAACTCACACTATAAACTATGAGCGATGATACGACGTTTGATCCTTCAGCCCTTGAGAATAAAACTGACCCTTTCCCTTTCCCCTTCCCCCAACTACATAAAGTGATCTAATCCCTAGAAATTCCTAATTTAGTCCCGGTCTCAATTGTTGCGCTCTAATTTGATAGGAAATTTTGAGAAACTATGCCCTAGAACGCATTTTACATTCAAAATACATTGTACAAATACTTTAAAAAATATTTATATTTTCTTGAAGTATCTCGGGGCTTGGCTAATATATGTCTCATGTGGAGTATAGCACTATCCTTAAATACCGGCTCATGATTCTTATATTTCCGGCTGACGAGCTGACGACACCGAGATGTGTCTGGTGTGTTGTAAGGCATGTTTGGACTCTTTTGGAGAATATGCAATTCATTGTACAGTAGGGGTGTGTGCGGTACGGTTTGGTACGGTTTTTGAGTCAAAACTGCAAACCGCACCGCATATACGGTTTGAATATTTTAGAAACCGCAAACCACACAACATATGTTCAAAACCGCGTGATGCAGTACGGTTTGATGCAGGCGGTTTATGCGGTTTAATTGCGGTTTGTATGGTTTGATGAGTTGTTCAACATTAAATCTATCAAAAATCAAAAACCTAACCGGGTTAAAAAAATTGATTGTTTTCATTTTATAAAAATAAATACAATTTTCGAGTTAAATCATTTTTAATAAATTGTGATTCATGCTACTATAGTTTTGTAAGTATCATTATTATTGTTTTATATTGTCGTTATAATAGCTATATTCTTGTAAACTATAGGATCTTGATCTAATAATGATTTAATGTTACATTATAGATATTTGGTTATTGTAAGAAATATATGTATATACATCGTTTCTAAATCGTGATTTGAAGTTATAACAAAGTAAAGAAAAAAAAGTATATATATAACATGCGGTGCGGTGCGGTTTGAACCGCAGTTTTATAAATACAAACCGCAAACCACACCGCATAGTGTGGTTTGATAAAATGATGAACCGCAAACCACACTACGAAATTCTAAACCGCATTATGCGGTGCGGTTTGGTGCGATGCGGGCGGTTTGTGTGGTTTTTTGCACAATCCTATTGTAAAGAACTCTCGGGGTTCAAATACCGACACGGTATGGTTATGGATATTTTGTTTGACATATTTAAGCGTGTCGGGTTTTCCGCTAAGAAAAAAACACCTATGAATTTCTTGATTGACCCGACAGAAGGAATGTCAACCCTTAGACCAACTGATGTTTTGTTTTTTTTATGGGTTGGAGGGAAACACACTTATGGGGACCTTACAGGGGTATCCCATCTCGTGAGTTTGAGGGTTGGGGGTTTCAAAGCGGGATATGTTGCTTTAAAAGTTATCACATGCAAAGTCATGAAACATGAGAAATCGTGTTTGGGAAATCAACGCGTGTTCATACCATTGTAAATAACTCTCAGGGGTTCAAACCCTTAGACCGGCTGATGTTTCTAGTTATCCATAGAGATAGGTTTGGCCAACATATATCTTATGTGTATTATCGCACTATCCTTAAATATCAGCTCATGATTCTTATATTTCAAGCTGACGAGATGTGTTTAGTGTGCCGCAAGGCATGTTTGGACTCTTTTAGAGAGCATGCGGTTCATTGTAAAGAACTCCCGGGGTTCAAATATCGACACAATACGGTTAGCGATGTTTTGTTTGACATATTTAAGCATGTCGGGGTTTCCGCCAAGAAACAGACACTTGTGAATTTCTTGACTGGCTCGACAGAAGGAAGGTCAACCCTTAGGTTGGCTAATGTTTTGGTTTTTGGATGGGTTGGAGGGAAATACGCTTATGTGGACCTTATAGAGGTATCCCCTTTGTGTGGGTTTGAGGGTTGGGGTTTCAAGGTAGGACATGATGCTTTAAAAGTTGTCACATGCAAAGTTACAAAACATGAGAAATCATATTTGGAAATCAACACATGCCCATACCATTTGCGCTTGATACGTGATGTGATACAAATTATACCTATATAGCTATAAATTTATAACCTACCTACTTATTTACTAATGCACCTATAAGCAGTGTACCCAATCAATTTATAGTATAGTAAAGTAAGTTGGGTATCGAACACAGGGAACAGATTCAGTATATTAAAAGAATTACTAAAAATTAATCTAAAAGCAATTAACTAAAGTAGGGGTTTTTTTATCTGATTTTGCAAGTTTAGATTAACTTAAAACTAACAAACACTTAACTAAGAACAGATGTTATCAAGATATTAAAAGCGCTTTCGTTTAGTTTTGAATCCACCTTTTTACTATGGTTAGTTCTCATTTATGGATTAATAAAGTGGGTTAATACAATAGTTATTATTAGCAATCTTGATTATATCTCTCTTCTAATATTTTCATCAGTTCATGAACTACTATGTAATGAACATCACAAGCAAACGCATACTTAACTACTAAGAACTAGTGAGTTATGTAAGATTTATCTAAACACAATTATGATCAAATTGTGTTCTCTAACACAGATACAGTTGATGTCTTTCTTACATAATCTAAGATTGATGAATCCTAACTCTAGCAATTGAGTGTTCATAAACTACTAGGCAATCAAGTTCATGAAATATTAATTGAGCATTCAATTACACTTAACCTAAATATAAGCAACAAAGATTAAAGCTTTATCATGTTAAGTATCAAAATAAAACACAAGCTTAAATCCAAATTCACATAATCCATAAAATAAGAACTAATCATTGGAAAAAAAATGGATTCAAAACTAAACAAAAGTGCTTGTAATGTTTTGATAACATTCATTCTTAGGCAGTGTTTGTTAGTTTTAAGTTAATCTGAACTTGCAAAATCAGATAAAAAAAACCTCATTGTAGTTAATTGCTTTTAGATTAATTTTTAGCAATTAGGTGATAGTTACAAAGTTGGGAAAGGAATGCCTATGGTATAGGGTGGACGAATTCAAGGGGATAAAGGCCTTAGAATTCGTCCTTGATAAGGGTTCTAGAGTTATCTTATGGGCTGCTTGGTGGCCAAGTAACCAAATAAGGATAAGGACTGAAACCCTAATTCCTACACCTATATAGAGGGCCCCTTGGCATTAGAAATTCGGCCACTTGATCCCTAGTAGGGGTGAGCATGGTGCGGTTTGGTGCGGTTTTCAGATCAAACCGAACCGCAAACCGCATGGTGCGGTTTTTGCATTCTTAAAACCATTGGGTGCGGTTTTGCAATGGTTCGGTTTTTCGGTTTTTAAATGCGGTTTCGGTTTGTATCGGTGTGGTTTCGGTTTTTAAACCGTGTTAAGAATTTGGTGCAGTTTTTTTTATGTTTTTTTGTGCGGTTTTTTAAAACTATAAAAACTGAAAACAATGTGCATATAAGCTTTTATTGTGCTGTTTTTTTTAATACATTCATTTTCAACTCAAAACAAAATTACATAATCAAAAATTGTAAGTCGCTTAAAATATTACTTGTGACTACTCTCACAAACTAATTAATGATTGAAGGTTGGTTGATTTTGACTTAATTTGTTACAAGCTTATTACATGTAATCGATTAGTACATTTGGCTAACAATAGAACATTTCTTTTGCACCCCATATAGTTTTATACAAACACAAAATAAACATATAATAAATATATTATCGTTTATAACTATTTTAAATAGAATGTATATAATATACATTGATTGATTTATTACTATACATGTTTGCGGTGCGATTTGGTTTTGATGGACCGGTTTTTAGGATAGAAACCGCACCACACCGTTGACCTTTGGTTTTTGCAAAAATTAAATCCACACCATTGGTTTTTGCATCGGTTTTGGTTTTTTGGTTGCGGTTTATTGTGGTTTTGTCGGTTTTTATTTAGTCGGTTCGGTTTTTGCTCACCCCTAATCCCTAGAGTTCTTAGAGCCGAATTTCTCCTCCCCTCCCTCTCTCTCTCTCTTGCTTATTTACTTGCTCATGGTGTTTGTGAGTCATTAGAGGTACTACATTTGCGGTGCTTGCTTTTAAAGACAAGAAGATTCAAGAAACAAGTTGTTATTACAACATAACAACAAGAGGTATGTATTCCATTCTTCCTTATGATTTTCGAAATTACTAGGAGCATGCTAGGTTTCTTTTTGTATTCATGAAGTTGTATGACTGATAGTGAAAACATAAATTCGTATTTAGGGTTGCATGCACACATATAATTTGTTTGTATAAAACTCATCAGTTGTATCATAGTGTTTGGTTTTGTTTTCAATTAGTTTTATACAAAAGTATGAATTTGACATATTAGGGTTTATAGCCAATAAACCCTAAAGGCTTGATTTTCAAAATTAGGGTTCATAAACCCTAAATTTTGAATTTTTGATAGGATTTCCCAAACCTTTTCCTTAGCCTTCAAGATTTCAAATTTTAGGGTTATCCAACCCAAGGGTTTTCGAAATTTCCCCTCCCCAAGATAAGATCCCTAAATTTAAGGGATTTGGATAATTCCATATCTTGTAACTATCCTTGTAATTTTTTAATATGGTAATTAAAGATTTTTAAATTATCCCATCCCAATTTTTGAATTTTAGGGAATTTAAGGGATTAGGTTTAGATTAATTGTTTAATAGATAATCCTTCAAGATTTGATAATTCAACTTAATTGTTTAATTTTGGGATAATTATTAAATCAAAGTTTTAATATTTAAAATTTAAAAATTAAAAGGTTTTAAATTTTAGAAATTTTAAATTTGATTAAAATCCTAGTATTTTGAAATGTTTAAAATACACCCTATACTATTATAATATTACAAGATTAATATGTATATATGTATAACTTAATTTGCTAGTCTTACCGTTAGTAGGCATCATTCACAAAGTCGGTCTATAAGGGGAGTATAAGGTTGTGGCCTATAAAATGGTCGTTTAATAAGTGTCCATTCTCACCCACCGCTTCCTTGATTGTTGGAGGGTCGTTAGTCGAACAGGTAGGATAGGTCAAACCTTTCCTCCTTAAAAGTATAATGAATTATAAAAGTAACTAAATGTTTTTACAACAATTCCCAATCTTAGTTACTTTAGGAAAAAATAAATTGATGCAATTCCATGAAATTACACTTTGCACCCTTGCTAAGACGTTAGTGAAGCGTGTGTGGTTAACCGACACACTAATTGGACTCTAAGCAAAGGTGGAAAAGGGTGACTCATTGTTTGTCATAGGTCGATGGAGTGTATGTGGTTAACCGGCACATCGAATAGGTGACTGTAACAATGAGGGCACCATGTACATGTGTATGGTTATTCACACCTGCTTTCTGATCCTTGGCATCCCAGTCACAAACTAGAGGGGCATATCGAGATTTAAACATGTCATTGAAAAGTTCAATGAATCTCAAAAGAATCTAGGAGTTTTCAATACATTTAAAACTTAATCTCTTTTTCGTTTTTCATGGTGGAGAATTAGTGAATCGTCATTCACTTACCTTCAAGTTATTTGCATGTTAGATTACGGCATCCTTCTTCAAATTATGTGCATGTTAGATTACGACATCGCGACATGGAGTGCCAGAGGATAGGTCTTCCTCATTGTCACACTCTACTATGGGTAAAAAGCTCAGACCGAATAAAAAACACAACTGATGTTGACACTTATATTACAGCCGAGCTGCCAGATCCAATCACAGAGCCCGACTTGTATGAGACGATAACAACCTGTATGATCCACGACCCGTGTGGACCACTAAACCTAAAAGCTCCATGTATGAAAGATTGTAAATGTAGTAAACATTTCCCTAAACCATTTCTTGACACTACATTGTTCAACACGGAAGGATATGTACGCTACAAACGATCTGCACACCATACGACCCAATATGGACAAGTTATAGACAACGGATATGTTGTTCCTTACAACAAAAGGCTTGGCTCACAGTTCCGTGCACACATCAATGTCGAGTGCTGTGGGTGGAACATGACGATCAAGTACTTATTCAAATATATTTCCAAGTGAGAGGACTGTGTAAAATACACTATCCAAAAGGCGGAATCGCCCAACGAATCCTCTGTTGCCACACCTGCTGGTGATCATAACGCCCCTCAAGGTCCAAATGTTCGTCCTATAAATGAGGTGCAAATTTTTTTGGACGGTCGCTACATATGTCCACACGAGGTATCATAGCACATTTTTAACTTTCATATACACCATTGGCATCCACCTGTTCAGGTTCTATCTGTACATGAGGAAAACATGCAACAACTACTGTTCAAGGAGGACACCACAATACCCGAGGTACTGTCGAATCCATACAACAACATAACAACCCTTCTCGGGTGGTTTCACAACAACACAAAAGACCCAACAGGTCGTCACCTGACATACCTAGAATACCTAAAGTCTTACAAATGGGAGAACTCATCTAAATCGTGGAGCCATAGAGTTGATGAGTCATCAAAAACACTTGGTCGGCTTGTCTTCGTTCATCCTACCTCTGGTGAATTGTTTTACCTGCGGATGTTACTCTGTCACCAAAAGGATTGTACATCTTTTGAAGACTTGCGTACCGTCTCTGGTATAGTTTACCCAACTTTCAGGGCGGCTTGCAACGCACTCGGATTGATTGGTGACGATATCGAATGGCTCACTGCTTTCACAGAAGCATCCGTCTGGGCAACTTCACTACAACTTCAATCCCTTTTCTGCCACCTGTTGCTTTTCTGCGAAGTCATCAACTTGCATTTACTGTTGGAATCTGCATGTGATAAGATGAAAGAGGAGTACTTACATACCCTCAAAAGACAAATGTAGGATAAGGGCGTTGCTTTGGCTTTGGATATAATCCACCAGCAACTTCTCCGCGATTTGGATGACGCCCTCTGTTCTTTCATCCCATCTAAATCAATGGCAGATTTTGGTCTTCCAATTCCATCACTAGAAGTGCACAGTATTTTACAAAATCGGATCCTACTTGAAGAAATGAGCTATGACAAAGAGGCTCTACAAAGACAGCACGACGACCTCCTACCAAAGCTAAACAGTGACCAACTGTCGGTCTACAAGACAATTATCACTTCCATAGAAAACAAAAAACAAGTACTAATGTTCGTTTATGGACACGGAGGTATCGGGAAGACATTTTTATGGACAACAATTATCTCTTATTTTAGGTCTATAGGAAAAATAGTTTTGGCTGTCGCTGCTTCTGGAATCGTGTCACTTTTGTTACCTTCTTGAACAACTATACATTCAAGGTTCAAGATACCTATTGACCTAACAGACAAAAAATCGTGTGACATAAAAAAGCGAACATTCCTCGGTGATCTTTTACAACGTACATCACTCATCATTTGGGACGAAGAGCCAATGAGTGACAGAAGGTGCTTCAAATTTTTGGACCGTTCTCTTAGGGATGTGTTGGACTGCGATGACCAGTTGTTTGGGGGCATATATGTTCTTCTTGGTGGTGACTTCCGACAAACTCTTCCCGTCCTACCAAAATGTACACGTTCAGAAATCATTGCACTAACTCTACCAAGTTCGTACCTATGGCCATATTTCACCATTCGCATTTTATGTACGAACATGAGACTACATTCCTCCGAGATAACCACCAATGGTTAAATGTCTGCATCAGCTTTTGCAACATGGTTGCTACGTATTGGAGATGGACTCATAGGCGTACCTGACAAAGATGACCCACGAGACTCAAGTTGACTAGAAATTCCATCTTCACTCCTAATATCACCTAGCGCCGACTCTCTAAAAACCTTAATAGATTTTGTTTATGGAGACGGTGCACTTAACAATCTAACTACCATACACCATTCCATAAGAGCAATAGTTTCGCCTACAAATGATGTGGCTGATGACATAAATACCCACATTTTAAGGATTGTGACATCAGACAACAGGACCTACAATAGTACGGACATGATGCAACCGAATGGGAAACACACGTCAGATTTGGAAGGCATGTATCCGATCGAATACCTAAACCAACTAAACTTTGCAGGAATACCCCCACACGAGCTTACACTTAAAATACACTGTCCTATAATGTTGTTAAGAAACATTAACCAGAAGGAAGGTTTATGTAACGATACCCGCCTGATAGTCTCCCAGTTGCTACCAAACGTGATTGAAGCAACCATCATAACTGGCACTTGCATTGGAAAACGTCCATATATACCACACATAAAGTTCATACATAAGTCGTCATATATGCCATTCACTTTATCACGAAAATAGTTCCTATTGAAGGTCTGCTATGCGATGACTACCAATAAGAGCCAAGGACAATCTCTGCGTAGAATTGGTATCTATTTAGCATAACCTGTTGTTGTACACGGCCAACTTTCATTTCCCTATCCCGAGCCACATCACCAGATTCCATAAAAATATTGATAAACAGTACCGACCCGATGCGCCACAATGAAACCAAAAACATTGTCCTTAAAGATCTACTTCAAAAAGTTACTTCAACCGAGGTCTCTAAAATATCACCACCAGATGTCTTTCCCATATTGTCATACCTTTGATCAACTGTTTTCTAAAAAACATTAGTATTTTTTGTTTTTTTTTTTTATCTTCATCTCTGCACCAAATTTTACATGTTTGTAGAATATGTTTACAACTTCCACCACATTCACATCTGAATATAGCACTCATTTCCATATATTTCTTCCGATTAGAGAACACAGCCAACTCATGACCAACATCTCGGAACTGAAGACTGATGGTATTGGAACCCCCCTACAGGTTAGAATATTACGCAAATGGAAGCATGACGTCCGACAATATGCGACTTGGTACCTAGCTGCCGATAGATTTGTAAGTTGTTACCCAAAAATAATAAAATAAAACTGTCTACCAAATTTTACACTTTGCATATTGTTTAAATACTAAAAATAAGAATATCAATGAATTCATTTTAAAATACATACATCCCATATATTTATTATCATCATCTACAACAAAATAATTAATCATTATTTTCTAATGTTTGTAAAAACATATAATTTGTTATTTACATAAAAGTTACCTGTGAAAAACTAACATATTTGTATTTAATATAATGTAACGTGTAAATTATAAATATAACTGTTTTTAACAAAAACTCATCTCAAAGGATGACCACCACAGCTAATCTAATGTCACAAGGATCTGTTTTTTTACAAGGGGACGCCATACAGATTCTTGGCCAACGAACCAATCAGAGCTACATTGAATCTCTTCTCAATGTTTCAGGATGCTACACCATATCGGATTATAGTTGCCCTAAGTTAGACAAGTATCAAAAATTCCTTAAAAATGACTTCTATATTGATGTTGGCCTCATATCCGTGATAGAACCAATTCCGGCCATACTAACTATACCCAAAACCTGGTTTCGTTTTGTCTCGAAGTCACATTTGATAGAGCTTGGAGAAACCCCACCTTATTACCCATGTACTAATCACAGTTCCCCATCTGATCTCATGCCTGCTCCTTACACAGTTATATTTACTTTTGTTCAAACTACGTTGGCGTCCTATCGAAGATTAGAGACTGCACCAAAGCGGGTGGGGAATCATACGTCTTACTCATACTAACTGATGAAAGGTATACATCACATGCAACGAAGTATAATTATCAATTCTCTCCTACCCATCTAATACCAAAAATAATTTCAATTTAGTTAGTGGTAGTGAACTTGCAATCAATCTATGGAAAGAATGCATAGGTAATCCACAGAAATTCAACTATGCCTCCTTACATCCACCACCGGCAACAACAGTCGTTGCGGTCACCAACTTAAAACCCTCCATATCTAACGATATTATTTCATACACATCCTTATATACATACCATCTATACCTGTCACATACTGTCTGCTGCCATTTTTAATCTCCAAATTATTTATCTATAGGAGCACTACGTTACGGCTCATCACATGTTACACATATCTATGTCAAACCAGGGATACCAGAAACAACATCTCTCATAAACCTGTAAGCCATATAAATTAGACAAAGATGATATATTCCATAAAGTAAACAGTCTATACTAATAACACCATGCCATCAAGTTTACAGGACCTTCAAGACCGGTGCCACCGCTAGCAGGAACACCTTCCACCCTACATGACATGAGGGCCAAAAGCTGATCAGATCTCCTGGTAATGTGATACGGCTACTACCTCTATTCACAAATACCAATCATTTTACACATCGACAACTAATCACTTCATACATACAGGATAAAACATTCGTTGTTCGTGCGTCAATCAAAGAATTTGTCTTTCAAAACAGTTGGCACCAAACGGCATGTCCAACTTGCAAGGATCCCATCTTTAGAAGGGGCGAAAAGTGGTACTGCAATGCACATGGACTGATTGAAAAACCAACTTACACATAATCATCTTTCAAAAAAAATTATACATATAATCTCTCTACAACTGCAATGCTTATAAATATTTTGTGTCCATAGATACAAATTCTCGGTTAGCATCATCGATGCTACAGACACCATATCAACAGTTATATCAGAGACACCATGTCGGAAGCTACTAAGGTCATCACTTGAAAATTTTATATCCGACAACCTACTGACAAACGAAAACATCTTACCCCCAACAATCACCCACCACAAAGGAGAAACAAAAACAATGTCAATCCAAATGCTTAGGACATCGACTCCGGAAAACATACACTTTATAATAGACCTCGAAGCCTTAACAACCATGTCCGACACGTCGATCTCAAAAACACCAGCTCCAACCCGAATGACAAGAATGCGACAAAATGACACATCACCAGAGTCACCACAGCTACTCAACACGTTGCACGTGCTCTATCCTACCACCCTACACGTACATACACATACAACAAAATAAAAATTATAATCAAAGTACCTTAAAACATACTAATGACTTTCACTCAATGCATCGCAGGACCTACACCAACAAATAATGCAAAACAGATCAACCAATAGCAATTATCATGCACAATCACTAAAAAACCGTCTTTTGGCCGGGCTAATGTGTCTATCTTTTGTAAGATAACAATAGCATTATGACCCCTAAGTACCTAAAACTACAATGACTAAATTCTCTTTGCATGAATCATGTTCTTCTAAATTTTGCAGATGACTTTACTAACAATATGCATATCTATCCATATCTCTTCCAGTGTATAATAGCCTTCTGAAGTCACATGCGTAAATAACCATAAAAGTAATCATATATAATTTATATACTAATAAAAGTAGAAGGGGAGTAACACACAAATCAGAAGCTACTTTACCGTAGCTCTAAAACTCAAACGACTAAATTTCCTTTGCATGAATCCTTTTCTTCTAAATTTCACATATGACTTTACTAACAATAGGCATCATCCATAACTCTTTCAGTGTATAATAGCCTTCTGAAGTCACATACATAAATAACCATATCTAGTTTATATAATAATGAAAGTAGAAAGGAAATAACAAACAAATCAGAAGCTACTTTACTGTAAACAAGTGCATGGTCACCGCCACATCAAAACATGAATACACACATAATAATCTAAATAACCAATTGATTAATATATGCATAATACGTTATTTATATCCATCCAATAAATAATCGTTGTTATACAAAGAAGACTCATCAAGGACATATTTAATAAATATATACGGTGAATATTTCAAAACTTACTATTTCATTTATATAAGATGTACGTAAGCATTTAGTTAAATACTCTGACCAAAGTGACATATAACCACCACACATTACTTGTGAAGTTAATTGCGATACCCAAACCCAAAAGTTGTATCAACCAAAACAAGCAAAAAAACACTCAAGGCTCCTTAACCAAGGCATAGCCACCCTATATCAATCACTTCCCATGAGAATAATTAATCCGCCATACTTATTACAACTCAACCACCACAGTCATCTCCTATAAAAACACACCACCAAATGATCGCCCCCTCCACCAAACACCAAAGAAACATCATGAATAGCATCATGCAGAAGGTGGTGGAGCAACTCCAAACCATGAAGACATCTTAAGCCGATCTCCAACAAACGTACAACACAATCAACACAACCATGCAGACACTACTAGAAGATGCCCTATACGAACTACCATACAAGCAACTTATAATCACCAACCACATCATCGTCGACCATGAGAAAGACACCGTGCTGATGCTCGACATGATGCAGGAAAACATGTCGGCATCGATCAAAATATGCAACAAAATCGTGACAGACCATCCAACAACATAAGGAACCAACATCAACTTTTTTTTGCCACCAATTATGTAATCTAAAATCATGTAATCACCTTCTAATGAACGAATGTATTTTGATCCATATTCTGTCACATGATCCATATGTCTAATATAAACGAAAACAGATAGCAACCAATACTATAAATGCTCCACCTAATCAAGCGAGCTAAATATCGTAAATGAAACGTCAAACGGTTCATCGTTGTTTTTATATTTCGAAAACATATTAATTACTTTGAATCACAGTCGAATAGTTATATATCATTTATGCTTTCTCTTGAAGGTGACATATCTCCTCATGCAGAAAGAATACGGAAATAACTTTAAAGCATATCTATTAGTCAACATCGGTCTTATTTACGTGTAAATATTGAAACCGTCCATCCGGACGTAGCAGGTACACCACTCTAGTTATTATTATTATTAGGGAGAATTTCATATATGCTATTCTTAAACATAAAAATATCATATTTACCCAACTTAATTTTTAAATATTATATTTACCCTTCCTAAAATTTATAAATATCATATTTACCATTCATAAAATTTCAAAATATCATATATGTCCTTTTTAAACATCATAATATCATATATACCCTTCTTAAATATCAAAATATCGTATGTGTACTTTTTAAACATCAAAATATCAATGGTAATATCTAAAATATCCTTCATCTACAACATAATCAACAAAAAAAACTAAACAATCAAAATATACATTCCATAGAGAGGGTTGAAGATGAATATTTTTGTTTGTCAAAATGACGACATTCCAACAATTAGAAGTTCATATTTCATTATCATAAAATTAAGGATAATATCATTAAAATTTTTAATTATTATAGTAATTTTAAGTTATAAAAAATGATTATAAAATATTAAAAACATTATAAAAAAGGATTTGGGTAAATATGATATTTTGAAGGTTTATGAAGGGTAAATATGATATTAAGAAATTAAGCTGAGCAAATATGATATTTTGAGGTTTAAGAGGGGCATATATGAAATTCTCTTTTTATTATTATTATTATTATTATTATTATTATTATTATTATTTTGACTAAAATATAAATTGTAAAATAACCCGGATTTGGCCGATTTGGGGACTTACTGCTACTGTATCAAGTTCCGGTGGCCGAACGAGCAGGGATCACAGTTCAGCGTCGGAGCTGGAGCTAATCGCAGAGAGCAGTGGCATATTAGACGTTGAACAGCGTGAGTTCTTCACACCAAACTGAAAGAAAAAATAATAATTCAAGTATTCGTTAAATTTCTGAATTAGGGCTTGCAGTTGAACCATCCATCAACAATCAAGACACGTAAGTTCCTTATGATCGTGGATTTTCCGGCTTTTACCGATTGCATTGCTGTGATCTACATCTTTTCTTGTACAGATTATAATCCCTATGCGTTCTGAAGATTATTAGCTTTAAAAATGGCTTTCGTTAATGTGATCAATTGTTGCCTCGATTCCATCAGAGAAGTAAGTTCTCTTTGCCTTCAATAGTCGCTCCCTTCCATCTTCATCTGCATATATTTCGTTAATATGATCAATAATGAACCAGTTATCTTCTTACTATTTGCTTTTTAGCCCATATATTTCATTATTCCTGTGCTACCAAAGTTTCTCTCATTGGGCCTAATGCCGATGTCTCAAGACTCAAACAGTATTCCCATGTAGAATTTTGTGATTGTGTTTGCTTTAGAAGCAGTATTATAACTGCACACTAGGCTAAAGATGTTACAGATAATACAGATTGTAATGAATATATCCATTCTGCAAAGCGTAAGTAAAGAATTATATTGCTCAAAATTTTCCATCTTCTCTAAATATCTTGTTTGTGATTTCTTTCTTGTGCTGTTCAGTTATCTGAGGAACTTAAAGGTGCAGTAGTTTATTTGGATGCGGGATGTACAGAAAGTTTCAAGTTTCTTGGGGCATTCCCTGTTCTATTGGAGATGGGTGTACTTTCTGTTTGCAGCTTGGAGAGCATGTCTTCTCTTGACATGGTAAATATGATTTTTATTTTATATTTCACATTGTAAGAAATGAACACTTCATTATATTCTAGGGTTAAATGCAAGAAATAGCAACTTTCATTGTACTATAAACAATCTAGTCTACCCAATTACAATAATGCCATCCAAATACATAGCAATTTTCACTGCTATAATAGTATAATGCCCTAATAAAGGAAGAAATTTGAAAGTTCATTACTATAATTGGGTAATAAGAAAACAAGTTAAAATGAAGTGGGGACTATGATTAGTTTCACTCTTATCATGCTTTCTTTTCCTTCTCTTTCTTCATTATGGTAATACTTTTAGACATGAAGAATAATTCCATGACTCTTTTTGCTTTCTGTTTTTAGGCGATTGATTGGAATCAGAAGAATGATGACCTCACAAAAGTAGTATTCTTCACTTGTCGCCTTCTAAGTGATGCACATCGATACATTTTACGATGTCTAACCACACTTCAACATGTTTCCCAGTGCACTATATACATATCTATCTCAGAGGTGCTATTCTGTCATTATAGCTTTCCTTGCTATTGTAATTATTTGAACTTATTGATGCTTTGCTTTGATATATCTTTGATAAAGACGTGAATGCCCTCCTCACCAGAATTCCATCCAACTAAGCAAACCCTTAAGTTTCTTTCTTCAATGATCCCAAATTTTATTTCTTATTCTTGAATGAACTTCAATTTCAATTTTTTCTCTTGCTATTGCAGACAGGTCACTCAGCTTACCCGGATTCACCTTTAGGACCAGATGCTTATCATGAATATCAAATCTTACTTGTCCAAGATTACGAGGAACTGAAGAAGAAAAACAATCAAAACTCTATACACAAAAATAGCAACAAACCTAAGGAGAATCCCATCTTTGAAGATGAAGGGTGGTTGCAGCTTACCCCTCGTGAATCTGATACCCCTAAATCCCAACCTTTTTCCATTTCTAAAGATACTTATGATGGAGGACCTAGATTGATGGCTTATGTTCATCACTTCCCTTTGATTCTATGCCCCTTTTCACCAAAGTTCTTTGTGCTTCCATCTGAAGGGTCAATTTCTGAGGCATATTTATCAGGTGATCAAGAGAATTCGATTAGTTCAGGGTTGCCTCCTTTAAGTACTGGGACATTTCATGATGGTGAGGATATACCTCCTGGGGTTGCTCTTACAGCTCAATTTCTGTATCATTTGACAACAAAGGTAATGAGTATATTATAAATTTCATCATCATGATTCATGACCTTAACATTTGTTTCCAAAATCTGTAGATGGATCTAAAATTGGAAATCTTTTCGCTTGGTGATTTATCAAGAAGTGTCGGGAAGCTTATAACTGACATGTCTAGTCTTTACGATGTTGGGCGTCGTAAAAAACCCGCAGGATTATTACTCATTGACCGAACAGTTGACCTTCTTACCCCTTGTTGCCATGGAGACACCCTTGTTGACCGGATATTTTCATCCATCCCCCGTAGGACCCGCATACCCTCCGGTCCAAAGGGTACCCGTTCCCGACCCACGAACCTACTCCGCTCTCCTCTCGATCTTCAAATACCACTAATTGAAATCCTTCAAGAAATCCCACCGAAAGACCTTCATCTTCTACAAACAATCGAACCTTTTTTACAGGGTTGGAGTGATACCAATCAACTTTCCGGGAAACTTTCTTCTTCAGAAATCGAGTTGCTTTCCGGGTCTTTAATCTCAACCGAAAATTTCAACGGGACACTGTTTCTTGAATCGATTCTTGATAAAAGAACAAAAGAAGGGATCACATTAATCAAGAAATGGCTTCAAGAAACAATCCGTAAAGAAAAGATCTCTGTAAACACAAAAATTCCACCGGGATTCGAACGTTTGATTAAATCTTTATCCAAAAACGAATCGACTTTCACGCGGAACAAAGGTATTATCCAGCTGGCAGCTGCCACGTCACACGCGATGACCGAAAAAAACCGCGCCAAATGGGATTCGTTTATTAGCGCGGAAAAAATCCTCGCGATAAACGCCACCGACACCACGCAAAACCTTTCATCACAGATGTGCGATATAATCAACAAAAGTTTGACCCGAGAACCCGAATCTTTATTTTCAATTGAAGACGCGTTGTTGTTGACGATAACTGGATATATTTTGGCTGGTGAAAATTTCCCGACTTCGAGTTCAACGGGCCCGTTTTCATGGCAAGAAGAACATTTTTTAAAAGAAGCTATTGTGGATGCGATTCTTGAGAATCCTGAACTTGGAAAATTTAAGTTTCTTGATGGGTTATATGATGATCTTGAAGCTAATTTGAAAAAGAAACGAGTGGCTAAAGATGATTTTGAAGATGATCAATGGGGTAGTTGGGATGAAGAAGATGGTGGTGATAATAATGAGAATGCTTATAGTGATATGCAGTTGAAATTGGAGTTACGGGATCGGGTCGATAATCTATTTAAATTTTTTCATAAATTAACGAATTTGAAGGGTGGGAAGGGAAGGTTAAATTGGGAAAGTGATAATGATCCGTATTCAAGAAAGGGATTATTGTATAAACTTGTGACAAGAATACTGAGAAAAGATGATGTACCCGGTTTGGAGTATCATTCGTCTACTGTTGGTCGGCTTTTCAAAACCGGTTTTGGAAGGTTTGGTCTTGGACAGGTATGCCAATGCTCCTACTTAGTTTAATGGAATCGGGGAAGGAATGGAATTGTTCATTCCATTCCAATGGAAAGATCTGATGGAATTGGAATGTAATTGTGCAGGCAAAACCAAGTCTCTCTGATCAAAATGTTATACTGGTTTTTGTTGTGGGAGGCATGAATGCCATTGAGGTTTGTATTCAACTACTCATTTGAAAGTTTATTTTTGATCTCTTTTTGTGTATTTTTGATAATGTAACTAACAAGATTCTTGCTGTGTTGTGTATGGATTATGGAAGGTGCTTGAAGTTCAGGAGGCTTTATTGGAAAGTGGGCGATTGGATATAGAAGTGGTTCTTGGTGGAACAACTTTTCTCACTCCTACAAACATGCTTGATTTACTTTTAGGTGACTCTAGTTACATTTGATGTATATTATCACAACATTTTTGTCATCTTTTGTTTAAATAATAAATCTAATATACAAATATAAAAACGGTATTTCCAAGTTTTGTGATGTGCATGATGCTTCCAGAACATGTTTGCTAGGGCCATTTTCGAGTATGTATGAGAAGGGTATTTATGTCTTTCTACAAATCATATACTCTTATTCGAACGTTTGATCGCACAACTTGTATATGTTTCCTATATTTCCTTCAAACGTCACATTATGATTCGACATATGATATTTTGGTGGTTTTTGACCCAGTTGGATGTATATCTTCAAAATCATTATATCAAGATCATAAAAGTTGAAGATGTATTTGTATAATTCGCATCAAAAGTATAGATTGATAAAAAGTTAAAACATTTATTTGTTGGTAAAAGTGAAACATTTGTGCATAAGTTAGTAAAGAAGTTGGTCATATGATTTTCAATCGAAAGGGCGTCATGGTGGATTATTTTGTGTATTGAATCATTTAATTTTCAATAAAGAAGTTGTAATTGCAAACATATTTTTTATTCTTGTTTCGGGTACTTGGTCAGACGTAGAAGATACTATGAACATGGTCAATGTGTATGTTCCTGTGGACTCTGATTATAGAACTAATATGTGGGTTAGTTGCCTTAATTAAAAATGTATAGACGTGAAATTTGAATTTTATGGGGAATTTCAATGAAGGTGGAAGGAGGATAGATTTTTATCCAGAGTTTGGTGATATAGTTGTAAAATTTTGGATTAGTGCATATTGTTTGGTAATAAAGAGCGGGTGCTTCTTCATAAATTCAAAATTGCCAAAAAAGTTGTTAGAGCATAGAGATATGATTGTAAAAGTGGTGAGATGTCGGAATGAGAGGAAAAAGAAAGAAAGTGGATGATTTGGAAATCATAGTTGAAATGAGGTCCTTATCGACAATAATTGAAGAAAAGGCTTATGGATATTGAATCCATGAATTTGATATTAAACAGAAAGTAAGGATTCAATGGGATATTGTGGGAGAAGAAAACACCTGATTTTTTTTTTCACTGCGTTATAAACGGGAATTAAAAAAGATGTAGAATACATGGTTTGACTATTGTGGTGGCACTTGGGTTACTGATCCGATCAAAATCAAGGAATTTTAGGAGCTTGTAAAAGTCAATTTCTTTGCATTTTTTTTAAAGAATTTGAGCTCATGGGTAAGTTAAATAATGGGTGCAATGCCGCCTTTATTATGTTAATTCCCAAAATTCTTGACCCATTGACTTTAAAGGATCGTAGACATGTGAATTTAATTGGATGCTTGTATAAAATTCTTTCAAAAGTTTTTTTTGGATAGCTAAATTTTATAAAAGGGAAACAAGTAGCAAGAAGCTAGGAAAAAGAATTACAAAGAGTTTTGAAGCATTGAGTTTTATAACCACAACGCCAAGTAATAGATCTATTACTACTATTATAAAACCAATCAAAGGAATACATAACAATATTATAAAAAATAGAGCTACTCTTAAACTTGATATTTTGGAAAACAACACTATTCCCGAATATCCAAAACATCCAAATTGTAGTGATCATAATGACTTTGACTGCTTTCTCTCAAAAGTACTTGTGAATCAACCTAAAAAAGTAATTGCCAAGGTAATTAGCCTAGAACAATCGATTTATATGGAAGGAAAGAAATATTTTGGATGGCCCTTTGCTTATAAATGAGCTTTTATTCCTTGGCTAAGAAAGTTTAAAAAAAAAGTATACCACTTGGAGGTAGATTTCAATAAAACATTTGACTCTTTTTATTGGGCATTCTTGGAAGCACTTTTAGAGCAAGTGAAACTTGGGATAAAATTGAGAGGGTCAAGGATTGTCTTTACTCCGAAAGATCATCGGTTTTGGCTAATGGTTCATCTAAAATTGCATTTACTATAAGAGATTAAGAGGAGGTGGTGGGCAGGGCGATCCTCTATCTCATTTTTTTTTTTTCATGGAGGTTCTCCGGTAAACATGATTAGTGATCTATGGTAAACATCGCGAATCTTAATAGATTGGTAGGATGTTTCTATTTAACATTTAGTGTAAAAGTTAATTTACACAAAAGCAAGTCGTTGAAAAAAGATGTAAAATTGGGGTAGATAATCTAGAGGTTGCTTGACTTGCGGTCATTTTAAATTATGAACACACTTCATTCTAGTTCATTGGTTCATGTATCAGGGGATTCCATTGGCTCCAATATGAAGCTTGTGAACAATTAATCTCCTATTGTGGGCAAATTTCAAGCGAAATTAAAGTATTAAACTATTGGAAGGCGAAAAACCTATTTTTTGGCAGAACTACACTTTGAATTCGGTCTTAGCCTCTTAGGGAGGCTTCCACTTTATTATTTTTCTCTCTTTAAGGGGCTGAAGAAGACAATTGATAAGTTGGAAATAATTAGAATGACCTTTTTTTAGGGATGGGGGAAAGGTGACACAAGAAGAAGATTTGTTAGGTTGTTTGGCATTCCATACTTCAACCCAAAAGTTTCGGTGGTCTTAGTGCTAATTGCTTGAGATTGTCAAATCTTGCAGTTATATCCAAATGGTGGTGGCGTTTGAAGACACCTAACGGAATTTGGACAAAATGCATTATCGCAATGCATCTTGTTGACAGTAAACCCATTGTAAAAAAAAATTAAAAAAAAAAATAAAAAATCCATAAAGTGTGTGGCTTAATGTGGGACAAACTGATTAGGATTTTTGGATTTGGGGATTTCTTTAATATATTTATTCAAAAGAAAAGTGGGGGCTGAAGATTTAACATATTTTTGGAAAGACTTGTAGTGTGGTGATGTTCAGTTAAAAAGAAATACTTCCGAAGTTATACACAATTGAAGCTAATAAAGATTGTCAAATCCAGATTTTAATTGAGTGCAATTGAAAGTTAAATAATTTGTGTGGATTTTTTTCGAGACAGAATTCCTCTCAATAGTTTAAGGGTTTTGATGATCGTATCCACGGTTGCTGCTTCATCCTTATTGGTGTTGTTCTTTATATTTAAGTATTTAACACTTGTTTAGTGACTGATTCCTTATCCTCATGTATTTTATGTACTTCATTATGTCCAGTTTTCCACCAGTTTTATTTTAACAACTTTTATTGCCATTAATCGATTCTCTACTTTTGTTGTTTATAAAATTTCTGCAGTTCTAACAAAAAGAAAAAATACGTGATTCTTGCATCAAATTGTTTTATTATAGAATTGCGGCCGCCCGCCGCCCAAACAAAAAGCCGGCAAAAATCAACGTCGTAGCCGCTTCCGCGTGCAACGAGACCCACATTTCATTACTCCATTCACCCAATTGGGCGGCGCCTTTTGCCTACTCAGTCAAACCCCTCGTTGACCCCACCACACCCTGCTTCCTTTATATAATAAACACACACAATTGTCTCACATAGACACACACACACTAAAACACTTCTCTAATGGTTATGAAGAATAATGCTTCAAAGCCTGTAACAGCGGCCAAGATTCCCGGTGTGGACCAAGTACATTACCGGGGAGTAAGAAAACGGCCATGGGGCCGTTACGCGGCGGAGATCCGCGACCCTGGAACGAAAACCCGGGTGTGGTTGGGTACTTTCGACACGGCGGAGGAAGCAGCCAAAGCATACGACACCGCCGCCCTCAACTTCCGGGGCACCAAGGCAAAGATCAACTTCCCTCCATCCATAGACGACGTTGACGGCCAGAGCCCCAGCCAAAGTAGCACCGTCGAGTGTTCCACTTCTTCCCCAGATGGTCGTCCTCCGTTCCACCGGCCGTTGGAGCTTGATCTCACGCGCCGCCTAGATGTTTCAGTCGCTGGGTACCAGTTGTTTCATAATGGCGGGCAGCAGACGGTGGCGGTCGTACCCCATCCCCATGGCCAGCCGATTATGGTGTTCATGGATCGAGGTTATCCGTACTTGTATAATCAGTACAATCCGAAGATTGAACAGGAATATGTGAACAGATTTAATGGAGTTTTGAGCGAGTCGGACTCTTCATCGGTTGCGGATTGCAGCGCCCCTCGTGATACGAGCATGTCGAGAAGAGAGCTTAATCTTGATCTAAATTTAGCGCCACCGGCGGTAGATGTTTAAGAAGATAGATGATAGATAGCTGTGTACTTGGTAATAGACCGAACCGGGTTCAATATGTAACGTCTGCAGGGTAGACCGGTTCGGGTCATTTTTTTTTGAGTATTTTAGAGTAGAACGGTGTTTTTTGGACGGGCAGACCGGATTTTGGGCAGCTCCCTTTCTCGACCGGTTAAATTGTGTGTAATTATTCAGCATTTTATTAGGAGATTTATAATTCTTAATATAAATTATGCATTTTTTGTAATTTTTGAATTTCTTCTGATGTTTTTTTAGGTATAATTATTGAAGTATTTCATTTGCAAGTTTATATAACTGGATAAACAATCGAATATTTTATGAAAAAATGGAAAATAGGGCTAATAATATTAAACACTTTTAAACACATCATTCTTTATTGGGGTTGGCTAAATGGACACATTCTTTATTGGGGTTGGTTAAATGGACTCAAAACATACCTTTAAAAGTTAAATGTTTTATATGGAGGGCTGCTATAGGAAGAATTCTAGTAGCTGATGTGCTACTTTAGATGGATATAATGACCAAACCAGGATTTGTCCAATGTGAACCACTTAATAATTGGCTGTGAATTCTCAAAATCAGTTTGCTATTGGATTTTCGGGTGGCGTGGGATTCATCGTAGGCAATTTGGGAATGTAAGAGACCTTATTGATTTTACTATTGGAGTTTTCGGTGGTGTGGGATTCAGGCAATTTGGGAATGTAAGATACCTAATTGATTTTGCTATAACATGGGGGAATTGTCCCAAGAAAAGACATTTGCTAAGCATGATAGTATATTCTACCATGTGTAACATATGACTAACAAGAAATGATAGAATTTTTAAAAGATTTGAGTAAATTCTACCAAAAATGCATATTTCATTATAGCTCAAACTTTTGAATGGAACAAGTACATGAGGAATGGAATGGAAAGTTGGACGGATAGTTGCTCAGTTTTCTCTTTTTTAGTTTAAAATGTTAGCAAAATGCTATAGTGTTTGTTTATTCCTCTCTGGTTTGTTTTGATGCTATAGTATTGTTTGTTTTGATGCTATTTGTTGCTGTTGTGGGTCTTTATCTATATAATTATTCGTCGTTTCCAAAAAAAAAATGGATAGAGTCCAGGCGTAGGTTGGTAGTTTTTGAGGCGACGAATACGGATTTGTGGTACTGTCAAGCAGAAGCAGGCAGGTCAAGCGGGTGGATGTAATAATGCATGAGTGTCGTTAAGAACCCCTTCAACCATTTACTTCCTCATGCATTGTGTATTTGTATTCTTGCTTTAAGACTTGCAACAAAGTAATTTTGTATGTTTTTTAAATAGTTTGTGAATTAATTTTATATATTTCTAATATTGTGTAAATTAGTCATGTATGATGTTTTATTAGTTTATGTTTATAAAAAAATTAAATATTGAATGTGTTAAATGGGTTGGAAAAAATTAAATTTTTATTTGTTCTTGGTCGAAAAAGATGAAAGAGATAAAAGAAAAAAACTAAGATGATATTATGAATGAGTTGGGAATGGGCGAATGGTGGACTCCCTCCATCCTATAGGTTATATTTTGGTGTTATTATTTTCTATAAATAGACGATACTTATATCCCATCCTTTTTATAAAAATTCTAATTTATTTTAAACCTAACAATATCAAACTCTTCCCAAGAAACCTTCATAAATAACATGCATGTAATATGTTATGAATACCGTCAAAGATCATGAGACAAATCGAGCCTTTAAGCTTGCTTTCCACAAATTTCAAAATAGTGAATGGTCCAACTAATCCTCTCTACGGAAAGACTTTCAACAAAGCCAGAACATCCACTTCAAATAACAAATGTTATTGGTCTACTCTTCAAAACCACATAACTTTTTTTTTAATGATTTTGAGTGGCCAACATTCTTTCCATATTATTTTCATTATACCAACTTCAAATCTAAAAAAGTGATTCTCTCTATCTTCTAACCAACGAAATGATGTCCAACTCTTTCTTTTGCAAGTGTTTCATAATACTCTTAGTGCTAGAGGTATTATATGATTTCTTTTCAATTGGAGATTTGCATGTCCTAAGCATGTCTCCAGTGTTGAAACCATTTTTTTTCACTTTACCGACTTTGTTGTCACATCATTTTAGATTATATCTTTCTTCGTAAAGTCGATGATCGATTAAAATCAATAAGAAGCAAACCGGGTTATCTGTTAATGGAAAATTTGTGACCTTTACATCCTTTGGATTTGTCATTTAATCAAGAAGCAAAGGGTCTTGCTGAAGGCATCTGAAACCCCCACTGATTCGTTGCACCGATTGTTGGTATCGCTCTTAGACTATCCATATCGGTTTTTCACGATTTATTCACAATGTCACTTGGAAATTTAATTTGTATTATTATTTTGTTATTTTATTTTAAAAATATTCTTTTAACTATAATAATTATATTTTATTTATTTATTATTGAGTAATTATTTTGTTTAATATTTAAAATATATGTTAAAAAATATATACAAAATAATTGTTGATGTGACAATAGGGATCATTTTTAAAAGATATGGACATTGTATCATATTGGAGAATTAAGAAAAAAATCAATATAACATATTTGAAACATGAATGATATTGTATTAGACTGGAGGGAATGGGTGCGGTTTCAACTGATGTGGCACTGAAACACCGTCCCCTCCATGCGGTTTTGAAGTGTGGTTTGGGGAGTGTCGCAAGAATCGGGAGCGCTCCATTTCTCTCTATCTTCCTCTATCTCTCTATCTCTCTCTTCTTTCTCTTTCCTCTTTCAGTTTAATACCATCCCTTGGGGTTTGGGTGTGGTAGAAGGAAGGAGAGTGTCTGGAACCACTCCCTCCAGTCTTAACTCTCACAAAAATACAGGAAAATCCACCTTAAAATATTTATAAAAGCTTTTTAATGACTAAAAGTAAATAGAAAAGTGATATGAAAAAAAATTAAACTTTTATGAGTGGTTAACATCGGAAAATGCCTTTATAATAATGTGTGTTTCCCTTCTGTTAATACTTAATTGAGCCTAATTGGAATTTGTGGGTGGTTACGGGATAGGTGTCAAGGTGTGAAAGAGAGAAAGATAAAAGCGGCGTTGGTAGTGGGTCCACCAGCTATCACCTCTTGACTGAGTCAACCCAGTAATACACGTATTCCGTCGCTGCCGTCCATAAGTATGAGTTAGAGTAAATTATAGTTTAGTCCCTTTAGTTTATACAAATATGCAGTTAGAGTGCAATTTAAAAATATATATATATATATATGTTGATAATCCTAATGTTTTAAAAAATTGGCACGTATTGTCCCTAAGATTGTCACCGTTAAGTCCTATCTGTTAAATATGCATAAAACGATCATTATATTCATAAATGAATATAATGGTTTGTTTTGATTTCCAGGTTTTGTTTTGACTTGTTTTATTTGAGATTTGAATTTCATTCAGATTTGATGTAAATATGCATAAAACAACCATTATATTCATAAATGAATATAATGGTTTGTTTTGATTTGTTTTATTTGAGATTTGAATTTCATTCAGATTTGATGTCGTTGGTTAGTTTTGGTGGTTTACCAGTGGTTAGTGATAACTGCTGTTAGAGGTGGACAGGAAAGTGGACTAGTGGTTGATTTTAGGTGGTGGTTTTGAATATTTCCAATGGTGGTGGTGATTAAGTTTTCTTCACCATAAGAGAGAGAGAGAGAGAGAGAGAGAGAGAGAGAGAGAGAGAGAGAGAGAGAGAGAGAGAGAGAGAGGGAGAGAAAGTGTGTGTGGGACCCTTTAATGTTAAATAATTATATTTTTTCTTTTTTTATAAAAAAATAAAGCAAATCTTTATAAATGGTCCATGTGGCAGTGAAATGATATAAATACATTCCACTTAACGGCCAAAAGATAACGGAGTTAACGAAAATGACCATTTATTAAAAGTTTTGAAACCACATGGACCATCTGTGAGGTTTTTTGAAATTAGAGACTAAACTTAATATTTTTGAAAACCACAAGGACCATTTTTGAAGTTTTGTCTTTTTATTAACAAGGGATATTTCAATAAAAATGGACAAAGAACCCTAAAGCCCTAACATATCATCGAGAACCATTTTACGTATTTCTATTCTCTCTCATATGACTGGAGACCCAACAATACCCTCTTTATATCTCTTTTTCTCTTCCTTCTGTAACATCTCGTTTATTAAATAATTAAATAGATAAAAATTAATGAATGAATAGTAGCCCAAAAATCCATAATAGTTAGCGGGGTGTTGGATTCGGGGAATCAAACATCATAATTTTGGAATTGGGGATTTAAAAGTTTAATTCCGGGATTTATTTTGTAAAGATTTTCAAAGGTCAGGGAGAGTTTGGTAAATATTGGACCTAAATTTAAAGATTTTGGAGGCTAAGGGGCTGAATGGTAATATATGTTTGAAAATAATTTGTAAAGGAGGGGCTGTTTGGTAAAATATTGGGCTTATTATGAAAGGATTTTTAGAGTCTTGGGGCTAAAAGGGTAAATTACGGACTTAAGTTGAAAGAAAAAGGAGAAGAAGGGACCATTTGCATCATTATGGGATGAAGTTTACGTGAGTCGGGTATATAACCCATCAACCCCGGTAACCCTAACCCTAAACTAAACACAACCGCCACCCTCCTTCTGCCTCCTTCACCACCGATGTCGTCACCCTTATCCCTCCCGTTCCAGCCGCCTTCTCCTTGCCTGTGAAGTCGGAGAACAACTTAATCAAACCACCGGAGCGACTGCCAACAATGATGTGAGCGTTGTTAACGCCACCTCAGTAGCCGAATCCATGAGGATGTTGTCGTCGTCATCTCGAGGGTAGCTCAGTCGGAAGTGCCTTTCGTGTTATAGCTCGTTTTCGTGTTGCTGCTCAGACGTGAAGTGGAGATGGGTGCTCGATGGATATAAAAACCCGAGGAAAACCACCATGGCTGCCAACCATGGTGGCTGCAGCCGTTAGCCGTTGTTGCTGTCGCCGTCGTACGTCACCAGGTGGGTGGTTGGGTCCATTTTTCGAACAAAAAGAGTGTGTGTATGCTTCTACCACTTGTGCGCATGACGTACATGTGGTGGCTTGGTCAAATTTCACAAGAAAAGCCACAATCGCCACCGTGAGGTGATGGCTGTCACCTCCAACCACCACCTGCCACCACAAGGATGGCTCGGTGTGTGTATGTATGTATGTGTGTGTGTGTTCATTTGGATATTGTTTTATATGTACATTGTTTGGCCGAATTATTCAAGGAAAACAACCCGTTGCCACCGTGAGGTGGTGGTTGCCACCTCACGCCGCCATTCTACCGTCACCTTGGGTGGCAGTGTGCTTTTGTGTGTGTGTGATTCTTATTTTGTGATGCTTGGACATATGTAGCCAAAAAAAATCATAACCACCACCACAAGGTGGTGACCGTCGCCGTGAGCCGCCATTGACCACCACTACCCGAGGTGGTAGTGGGTGGTGCCTGACTTATTTAACCCTAATTGACCTAATAAAACCCTAATTGACCTAAAAACCTAACCATTTGACTAATGGGCATGCGATTAGGTTGTAAACCCTAATTAGGGTTTAGAAAACCCTAATTTTAGATTTGTTGGTTTGGACTTATCGGGACCCATGCTTTGGGCCATTGGAATTGAATTATGAATTACACCCGATTACACCGTATGATTTACCTAGTAAGATGATGGACTTAATTGATTAATTCCTTAATGGGTTAAGTAAGAACACTTAACCCTAATCGTCATTTTATGTGAAAACAACCGACACCAATGAAACTTGATCTTGTAATATAAAGACAACCACTAATGTTCAACAATAACACCAAACTTTTTTTTGGATAAATCGCTAAAATGCAACATTGATCTAATGGTATTTGATGGTTTTAAGTAGGGTTGAAAAATATGCATTACAGAAAACCAACCAACATGTTAACAACCAAACCAATAATATTGGTAACCAATGTGTTTGGTAGCCAACATGTTTGGTTGGTAGTACCATACCAACCAACTCAATATATATATATATATATATATATATATATATATATATATATATATAATAGTTCAAATAAAAACAGTAAATAATGTGAGAACATAAAAACACTATTTTTATGTTCTTATTCGGCAATGAATTTTGTATCAACAACTTTATGTCATTATTCAACAATAAATTAATGAATAGTTACAAGTTAAAACTAAAATTAGAATCTACTATAAATATACACATACATAAATTTATAATAAAATAATAATATTTTAATGAATATATGAATAATCAGACATTAATATTCATATTAGAATTACTTCAAATATATATATATATATATATATATATATATATATATATATATATATATATATATATACACACACACACAACATTTATTACAAAATAACAATAAAAACATAGTAATTTTACGTTCTCACATTATTTACTATTTTTATTTGAACTTTTATATATATATATATATATATATATATATATATATATATATATATATATATATATATATATATATATATAAAAGATCGTATATTTAAATTCTAAGTGTATTTGGTATTTAAGATTTAAGAGCTTTAATGTTACCTTTTACCATATTAGGAAAGGAAAGCATAAAGTTTAAACTTATGTTCAACATAACGTATTTTTCTCTACTATGATTAAAATTTAAAGTTACGGTAGAAATTAATAAAATCTTTATGGATTGAATTTTCAATCTCAACCATCACAAAACTTTCTTTCACACAAGCTCTATTCACGGTTTACAATGTTAAGAAAATGAAAATCTTTATTTATAAAATTCTTATACATGTTAGGCATATATCATTACCAACATTACCCACCAAACTTATTAGTAACCAATTAAGTTGGTACCAATTATACTTAGTATGGTTGTGATAATAAAAATTTTGTACCAACTTTAATTTGTATGATACATGGTTTAGAAAAAAATATGGTCGATACCATACCAATTCCGCCCCTAGTTAATAAATAATATTAAGTCATAAAAAAGTTTTCATTTTATATAATCTTGATTATGATGTTATTAAGACAACATTACATCAATGGTCAATATCAATTTAATCCTTTTCAAATTTATTTATATGGACGATCCTTATGATTTCAATATCTTGTGCGGTTAGTCCTAATCAATAACTCCATAAAAAAATGGAGCTAAGTGTTTATAAAAAAAGACTATTTTTGTCATTTTGTTATTTATGTTTTTGTTTTTTTTCTTTTATCTAATTAAGGACCCTACCTCCATCCAAAACCACCAATCTCTCTCCTCCACATATAAATGTATCAATCCCTACTGCTTAGTACTTACCATTTCCGACGACTCATCCCATCGAATGTCATGACCTCCATCAACCCTTCCCCATCCCCCACTACTTTGTATTTTCAAAAAATGTCCTTTAATTGTTCTTAATGTTCTTAAGCTTATCTTCTGCAAATCTTGCATCACAAATTGTAACCATTGCAAAGAAAGCAGCAATCTTTAATGTAAATGTTAAATAAACCCACCAAGGAAATCCTAAAGGTTGAATCTAGTCAAATAGAGGCTCATTATAACAACCAACACATATTGTCATTCCAAAAAAGTTAAAATAATTGTAAACTGCACTATATAAGCCCATTTCAAGGCTCACGTGGAAGGTCTTGGATAATCAATCGGATAACGCTAGCAACATTTTGGGTGTGCTAGGGTTTTAACTTAGACCTAATGTGATACTTACACAACTCGACTCATTATAAAGGGTTTAATCAAGTTTCATATAGATTTTGAGTTGGTAAAATGGTTTCTATTCACAAAAGAACTCTACAGTAATTACAAATTTAAGAAGTTTAGGAAACTGGTTTGTATTTTGATGGGCATACATATGTCAAAACACAGTAATAATATTTAATAATATGCCAATGATTTCAATGAAAATTGAATAATACTATATCTCGCATTTAGCCCAAAATTGCAACCTAAAGTCATTACTAGTTAACAAGTAATAAACAGAAACTATCGCCCAACAAAGGCATCCAAAACAAAATCCATACTTTTCGCATTGCATTACAAATTTAAGCAAGTTGTCGTAACCTATATCTGAAACTCGGTGATTTTCCTAAAAATAAATTAAGCAAAATTGATGATGATTATGACGAAATTTCCAGTTTGAGTTAATGAGAGACTCATTCGATTTCTTGAATGATTCTGTTTTTCCGTACAGACTTTCTTGGCATGCTTCCAGGGGCACTGTGAGCTCTCCTCCTGTCTTCCTTCCTCTTTTCTGCATCTGCCATTGTTCTCCTAAGCAACCCTGCCTTGTATATTGGTTTTGGCAAGTGCCTATGCCTGCAAATTATTATTTTTTTTAAAGAAAACATATATTAAGTATATAGTTAGAAACCAAAAACATTAACTAAGAATAAATAAAAAAAAGAGGGAAATACCTTAATATACGTTTGACCTCAGGAAGATGCTTGTAACGATTCTTGACAGCCTCCATATATTCATGCTTCTTACGTTCTCGTGGAAGAATCTGCCACACACAATTCAATCATTTTACACAACATTAATGAAACCAAAAAAAAAAGTGTTTTAACAGATGAATTATTAATGACAAGTGTATTTAATAAAAAAAATAAAACTTACAACACCGAGTTGCTCTGATGCTTTAGCTTTCCAAAGTCTAAGATTGGTGTCGTCACTACCCGAGATCACATAACTTGCATCACCACTAAACTTCACGCAAAACACCCTGAAAATTCATCAATTATCAAACTTAGTCCCCAATTTAATGCACAAATACATATTTCAACATATGTACAGAAAATCAAAATCAAGGGGAATAACGGTTACCTTTGCATTCGCTTAGTGTGATAGATTTCCCTACTATGTCCACCGTTATACTGAAAAATCCTCACCTACGAAAATCCAAAATATTTTATTTACTAAAATGAATACAAATATAACTGAAAATTAATTTTTCAAAAAAAAAGGACTTACTGTTCTGTCATAAGATCCAGTTACAAATTCACGACCGGTTGGTGAGTAATCAATATCCATACTGCAAAGTCATCATCAAATCTGTTAGTGTCTTTATATAACTACCATACCAAAAAAATAAAAATAAAAAATGTTTAAAATCACAGTAGATATCTTACACTGCAGACACATGATCTTTATGCACACACTTGGCTTCTTCTAGTTTTCTTGCATCAAAACTGTAACAATTGCAATTTTCATTTGCCTGCCACAAAACTAAGTGTTAGAAACCATATGAGGGGCATTCATGTCTTTTACGCAGATGGGATGTGTTTTTTGGTTTCAGATTTTTGTAATTTGAACATTTCAACTTACAAATGATTGATAAGATATGTACTTTTGTAGATTATTGCAATATTTTTATAATTTATAATGGTTTGGGGATGTGGAAAGTGCATGTTGTAGATGATGTCCAGTTGGTACTTACAGCTGTGAAGTTCATGGGCTCCATCGGATTCCAAGCAATAGAATTTGTTTTTGTCTGAAAAGACAAAAAAATATAAAGTTCAATATTAAAAATGGTTAATTCAAACAAAATATTCTACAACTAAGAAGATATCATTATATTATACACACCAATATATATCTAGGGAAATATGTCAACTATAATTATATATTTGCATACATACCCTCATGATAAGTTTTCTTGCTGGTGAAGATGTTCGAAGATCATATATTGTTATGCTCCGATCACTACACACAAGTAAAAAAAAAAAAAATATCTTTAGAGAGGAATGAATGGAAGGAAAACAGTGAAGCTGTTTCTTGCATTTAAGCCAATGTTATATAGAATCAAATGACCTCCCAGATGTTGCAAGTATATTTGGCTCCCCAGGATTAAATCGGACAGAAATAACCGTATCATTTCCCCATTCGAAACTGTTAACTGGCTGCGACCTATATCATCACCACACCAATTAGACACACAAAACTATACAGGTCTTGGATGGAATGGAATGAGGAATTCCATTCCTTTCCCTTCTCAATTCCATCATACCAAACAAAACACTATTGTATCAAAATGATCTGACCTAAATTTGGCTCATTACCTATTGTGGTCCCATATATCAACTTGAGCACCAGCTGTGGCAAAAAGATTACCTTCCCATTGATGGTCCACACCCCTGAAAATAATAAACTCAAAATCCATGAAAACATGAAAAATACATGCAAGAGATAGTAATATATACTTATATACTTCCACTTCTTTGTATTATAGCAATATCATCCAAATACAAAGCAATTTCCACTGTTATAAATGGGTGGATTTTTCAATGTATAATGAACAAAAATGAAACTACAATGCTGAAACTGAGTAGATATTTTCCCAGCAAGTAAACTTACCAGAAGGCATTTTTCCAAACATAGGATGCAATTGACTGCAATCACAAACATTAATTTGCATAAACATGTTAACATGTGAAAGAATCAAGAAACCAAACTAGGGTTAGCAGTTAGCACTAACCTTTTCTGAGGTATCAGATGAGTCGATGCCACTTGAAAGAGGAACCCTCCACAGTCTAACACTGATTCAATTAAGTAACAATACACACATCAAAGTTAATGTTTAAGTTCAGGATTATAAATTGCCAAAACACTAACAGTCTGTTTGGTTGAATAGACATTTAATCCATGATACCAAACACTACCCAAATCTAACATCATAAAGCTTACGTGCAATCCGTTCCACATGAAACAAGAACACCCCCATCTGTAGATACAGTTAAACCTCGTACTGCACCTTGGTGCCCAGGATATTGACAAATTGTTTTCCTACAATAATACAAAGTTAGGTTTCCAAACAATTATAAGAAAAAGAAATTTCTTCATATGTTGTTATATAATGTATCATAGGTTGTAGAAATATAATTAATGGAAATTGAATAATTACAAGGTTAGAACAAAGTAAAGTATTACCTCGAAGCAATATCCCATAAACGAATATCTGCAAGGAATCACAAATTCAACATGTTACAGAACATAACTTGGTTTTTAAAAACATATAGCCAAAAGAATATTCCGACTTACTTAAGGAAAAATATATGCTTTTAAAAGAAGAAAAAACATAGGCCAAAAGAAACAAATAAATATGGCAACTGAAGCATACCTCCATCCATAGAACCAGAAAATACACCTTTCAGGTGACTAGGGTTTTTTGCCATACATGAGATGGCGTCTATATGCCCATCCATGGCTCCAATAAATGGTCTTGCAAATACCTACCATGTGTCCATGTCAAAATTAATCTCAGCTATGACAAAAAATAACTAAAAAACAATGATTTGCTTTAACATTCAAAGCACAACAAATCAATTAGTTAGAAAAATGAAAAGCATATCAAACAGGTATCGCATAGAGAGAAAGTATTACCTTATCTAATTTAGCTGCATTAAGGGCTCTAACATACTCCACCGCCTTCTCTTGAGTACGAAGGTTTGGGTCGTAGTTTCGAGAAACCCTCTGATACAATAGGAAATGAATAATCAGACTCCCATCGTTTCAAAAAAAAAAAGCTACACTTGAATTTTGATGTCAATCGAAGCACTCATCGCACGAAAATTCGACCGAGGTTTTGTAGTAAATCTAATATATTTGCTATTCTTTTCTCGAAATCATACAGACACCGAAACAAAATTACCTGAAGATCATTACTCCGCTCGCGTGTAAAATCATCTGCAGAGCGAGAAATAACCTTAACCCTCATACTTCTAAAAACAGTAAGTGAACGTTTGTTTCGTTGCAGAGTTTATCAAATAGATTTAGATGCAGAGCTTCGGTAACGTTGATGGTAGTTCCGGCGGCGGCAGAGGTGAGAAAGCCGATGAATCACGGGTGTTTGGCAAAATTACCAAAAAGGGCTTCCTTTTATATTATGGCAATATGCATGTTCTTGTTATGAACACATTGTGTATTTCCTGTTATGAACAGCTGTAATTGAACAGTTATGACCATTAGACAGCAATTGAATACATACACTGATACACCATTGTAGTGACAGCAGACAATTTGAACTGAAATCAGGGGAAAAAAGAAAATCGAAGCAATTGAACACATACATCTAAAATTAGCAGACATCATACATACTTCGATTTCAACAAACACATGATTTCGATTTCAACCGAAATCGGGGGAAAAAGGAAAATCGAGAGCAGCAAAATACAGTTGAACGAAAGCAGTAAACGATGAAGAAAATCGTACATGAATCGTATTTGTGGTGTGCGACGGTCTCCGGTGCTGTGGGTGCGACGGTATTTGACGATGGAAGTCGGCGGTGAGCAATCAACGACGAGGAATAGGGAATCGCCTGAGGAGCGACGAGAGAAGAAGGGAGGCTGCGCTGTTTCTTTTTCTTCTGGTGAAAGCATACGAACGAAAACTATATTAGGTTAAGGGTATATTGGTCCATTATTTATTAGGTTAAGGGTATATTGGTCCATTCCTAAACAAAGTGAAATAAGCAAAGGTTAATAAGTTTAATCATAGTCGTTAAACTCGTACGAGTCGAGTCATTTAACACCCAAAACAAGGCGACTCGTTTCTTGTGCGACTCGGTCAAAATTAACGAGCTGTGGCTTGATTCGTACCGAGTCGAGTCAACTCGTGACTCGGACGAGTCATATGACCAACTGGTAATTGCATAATCAAGCATGTAATCCATTGCTATTTTAGATAGCACCAATGTTGGGTTGGAGGAAATCAAATCAATACCAAACAAAACTCTTTCAAGTTTCAAGTTCCACGTTTTCTCTTTTAGTGTGAAATTTGACTTCTACTTCTCCTTTAATATAGTTTTGTTCTTCAACGTGCTATACTTTTTTTTCCTTCCGCATGACCTTCCAAAGTTAGGAGGAGGGCTCGATTTCTTCTACATGTGAGAATAGAGAGAAGAGTAAAGCTAGAAAAGCAAATGAGAATATTTTCAAGGATTGAGAGGGAGGCGGTGTATATCTCTTTGAATAAAATAGAGTAAATGTTGGTAGAAAATGTTTTTGGGAAAATCAATAGGTTTTTGGAGTAACCAAAATGCATCACTGGTAATTAAAGTGGATGCAGGATAGGCGGAGTTTCTTGGAATTGCTTCCATAATACAAACATTTAAGTATTTTAAATAAATATTGAGTTTTTATATAATAAGGTGAAAATGTGATATATATATATATATATATATATATATATATATATATATATATATATATATATATATATATATATATATATATATATATATAATATGGGCTCAATACAACGATAATGGGTTGTGTGCAAAATAAGCCTAAATACGTAAAAAGGGATAACTAAATATAATTGTGGATAATACAAGTATGTTTAACATGGTTCATTGTAGTCGCTTATCCTTGTGACATCTTTGAATCCATTAAGCAAGCTCTATCCTATTCAAATTTACAATTCTATGTATTTTTTTTACATATTATTTAACTGAATGGATGATGTAAATTAAGGTTGGAGGGGGTGGTGTCACCGAAACCGCACTCCCTCCCTCGCCATGTAAGCGTCACGTCACATTTTACCACTTAAGTGTGATTTCTTGCCACACCAAGGGTGTGGTGCCACAGTTTTAGTTTTATTTTATTTTTCTTTTTTTTTTTGTTTTTTTTGTTAACTATTTTAATTTAATAAAACTTATTTTTTAATAAAAAAAACATAATTTTAAAAACATAATAGTTCATTAATTAAAAATACAAATACCATACATTACCTAATTTTAAAAAAAAAAAAACCTAAAAATTTAGAAAAACAAAGTAGAAACAAAAAACCAACAGCTTTAAAAAAAAAAAAAACACACACACACACACACAAGAAACCATTAAAAACTTGAAAAAAAAAAAAACTAGAAATTAGCCACGATTCATATAACGGTTTTTCACTTCCTCCTTCATCGCCAAAACCACTTCAAGCTCGGCCCCGGTCATATTCGACGTGTCCATTGCTAGTATTCGCATGTCGCTCTCCCTTTGTTTCCGAAGCTCTCTTTCAGAAGCAATTTTCAAAATCTTGTCCATTTTCTCTTTTATATCCTTCATGTCGGTTCCCATTTCTTTCAAATCATCTGAATCTGACGCTTTGCCTTTGCCTTTGCTTTTTGATTTGTCTCTTCCCAATGGTCGAGAAGGTGGTGAAACTGGAACAGGTTCATCTTCGTTCAGATCAAACTGAACACGAGCATCTGATGTAGTGTGGTCGGACTCAGATGTTCTGCTGCGTTTTGACCCACTGTCAATATGTTGGTCAGATGTTTTGCTACTCAGCCATTTCCTGTTATCTTTCAAAAAAATTCAAACTTCAAGAAACTTGAAAGCCTTCAGATTTTCTTTTTGATACACTTTCAAGGCTTTCTTCAAAATGACTTCATCACTTTCTCCACTTTTCCATTGACGTTTCATGTTGTTCCACAAGTCATTAAACAACATGACTTCCTTGTTCATCTTCCCCCATTTGGAGTACACTTGATGTTTTGAACGGTATTCTCCACGGCTCATTCCTTTATGGAACCTGTGTAAAACGCGAATCCAAAACGGTCATGCTTTTGGTCTTTTCCAACCGTCGCGTCTTCTGAAATATCGATCCATGATTGTGCCAACACCAACGCTTCCAAAGGTTCCCAACATCTAGCATCCGCCTTCTCTTTTCTTTTATTCGTTGCTCGAGTGGGCTGAGTTAACGAATTCTGGTTCAGAATCAGAAACGACCGTTTCTGGTTGTGTTTGTGTTTGTTGCACAAACTCGGGTTGGGACAAAAAATCAAAAGGATTAAAATTCGGGTCGGGTTGTGGTAGTGGTGGTGTTTGTGGATGTGGTTGCCCTGGTCGTTGTGGAAAAGAAGGAAACATACCGCCATAGTGGTAATACGGAGGTGAGAAAATCGGTTGATCAAATGAAGGTATTGGGGTGTTGGTGTTTCTGACTGGTGTTTTTTCTTTGCTAGGTCTTTTGGAAGAAGACATTTTTTCAAAGAAAATTGGATAAAATGATTGTATTTATATGTGTTTAAAGGTTGTGTAAATGTAAAAATGATAACATATGTATATATAGATGGAGTAAAAGGTTAAAAAAATAAAATAAAATAAAATAAATAAATAAATAAATGGAACGAATCTTTGAACGGTCAAGAGAGGAGTAGCCAATCATAGAACGCGGTTTTCAAGGGCCGTAGTGCGGTCTCGACCGCCCCAAACCGCACCCTGGGGGCGGTGTTCATGTCCCACGTGGCATGACCGCGGTTCCAAATCGCGTACCACACCGAGAAGTGTAATTGTGATTTAGTTCAGAAAATTGGGTATGATAATGCTGCAGCAGTTGCCAAGACTGCCCACAAGGATGGAAGTACACTGAAGGTGATGTTTCTTTCTTTTTGAGGATTAAAAAGATAAAAAAAATAGTCAGATTGCTCTTTTGTAATTGCTTGCAATATTTTCCTAATGTTACACTTGCAGGAAGCTGTTCTGAAATTAGGAGTGCTAATAAGTGAAGAATTTGATGAACTTGTAGTGCTAAAAAAGATGATTGGTCCATCTGATTGATGTTAATGATACAATAATAATCTTTTCATGTTGGCCTACATATGTTTTAAAAATAAATCATCACTGGTGGAGAACCCCTTAAAACAAAGTTAAGTGTAGGGTGTTGTAAGTGACTTGTTGATTAACATGTATAATAATATGATTGGATTGGTCTGTTCGAATAGTGATATTATTTTTGTGAAACATAGAATAGAGTTAGAAAGGTTTGGTATATGTGTAATGTGGGTATCATTTGTAGATAGGATTTGTAATTTACTCGTTTTATTTAAATGAAAATTATTTAAATGAAAGCCTTTCAAATTGATATATATATATATATATATATATATATATATATATATATATATATATATATATATATATATAGTGTTTAAATCTTGGAATTTATTAATATGCCTGCCAACAATTCAGTACTAAAGATAAAATTGCTTACTTAAGATGTAAACTGAATGACTTCGACATTTTAATTTTAGAGTTTCGTTAAATAGTTATGTACAATCTATTACTTAAGATGTAAACCGAATGATTTCGAAATGTTTAAATTTTGAGTTTCATAAAATAGATTATATACAATCCAATGATTAATAAAAATTTATGTGTTTTGTATGAGTTTAAAATTATTCAAATGGTGTTTTATTGTCGGTATAAAATTTTATGTGTTTTGTATGAGTTTAAAATAATGATGTGGCCTCTTTTCACTTCATTTTCACGTTTGAGGATATCTCTTAGCCTAAACATCCGACTCTCCTCATGCCTATATAAATAAGAGTTTCTCACTATTTGATAGGTACTATTAATCATAAAACGAATTTTTTCTAAAAAAATTACACTATTGGAAAAAAAATTAAGGGCATTCCGGACTACCTTGAACTCTAAATTCGATTTATCCATGATTAAAAGTATTATTATTTGATGTTTTAGTAATGTTTTAGATTATTATAAATTTAATTATGAATAATGTTGTTGTAAATGAATTTTATTTAGTGATTTTTTAAATTTATTTTTAATTTTTTTGATGTTCAGAATAACCAAAACTTTTTATTTGTATATAATTTTTAATATTTGATATTCAAATATACGCATAAAAATTGACCATTGGATCTCTTAAAAATTATTATATATTATACAATTAATTATGGCCCAAAATGTGATCATCTTCTTGGATGTCTTAAACGTTGGATTTTACAGTACTTCCATAGTTCTGTTCACCACATGAGTGATGAGCCACTTGCCTTTACTGTAAGCTTGTGGTTGACAATTTATTATTATTATATATATTACTCCTCCATAAATGAATACTACAAGTACAAACGGATTTAACATATGGAAAAGACAAAATTACAAATTTGGTATCTATATTAAAAATTGAATTTTGGTAGTCAAAAATATTTATTTTGTTGTAAGTTTAGTTTAATTTTGTTTTGATTTTTTTTTTAAAATGACAATTTTATCCTTTATATTTTATTTTATCAAATTTTAATTACAAAAATAAAAGAAAAAGAAAATACCCCCCCTTCTCTCTCTCTCTCGATCTTCTTCCTCAGCTCACACAACTCAAACTACATACATGCATACACTCAATTTAAAACACACACTTTAAACACAAGTATGTGTTTGCATTTCGAAAGAGAGAGTTAGGGGTAAAACAAGAAACAAAGAAGAAAATGCTTTGGGTGTGCTTATCCCCAAACGATACCTACCTGCTACTCCTCCATCTTTCACCGTATGCTATGCACCCGTGGCCTTCCTACTCATCGCATTGATTCATAGCGTCGAGGAAAACAAAGAAACAAAGAATAAATGTATGGGTTGTGTAACTATGTGTCTACTGGTATGTGT